ACACACACACACACCTGAAATCTTTCTCATACTAAAGATTCCTAAAATTACAGGAAGTATTCTCTCACAACATTATCACCATGATTCACCCTGTGAGAGTTTTAAAGGTTGTGTGACAGTGGTTTCCATAGTTACAGCACATGGCCACAGCCGTTTCCATGGTTACCACAGGAAGTCGATCAGTGGAGCATGGCCCACTTCCATCAAACATTTGTTCTGTATTTTTCCATAGAGGGTCCAGTGTGACTTCTAACAGACCCAAATTGCCCTGCTAGTTTTCCCCATCAGCTGTTAGACATTGCAGTTAATTAACATGTATTTCATCTCATTACTGCCATCCTGCAGGCTGTAGGACACACAATCAAAACAACTTTTATGAAAGAACAACCTACGCTGAGGAAAGAATCCACCCTCAAGCACAGATTGATCCATGGCATTAGACTTTTGATTTGATTGTCAAAGATTCCTCTGGGAAATGTAGGAAATAACCAACTGAGGTAGAAGAAATGCACATAAACCCTAATCACCAAATGATTCCCAAACTGAATGTCACATGTTGATTGTTACAGAGTATTTGAGGGTGAGGTTTCTAGTTCGAAAGTTGACCTAAAAAAAGTGAAATGAACCTGCAGTGAAAACCAGGCCATTAAGACCTCACATCTCGTGCTTGCAGCTGCAGATAAATCTAGCTCGCAGTGCAAACAGGAAGATCTACTGTGGGTGTTGTACTGGTGAGGTTCAAATGGAAAGAGCAGTGCCTGCCCACACAACACACACTCATATTCGAGGCTCTGAGTCAAGCAAATGTCTGTATTTTGCTGTTTGTTTGTTTGCTTCTCTATTGATCCTTCTAACTCTGAATGTTCGAATCTCTCCTCTCCTCCAGGAGGGTCTGAGGACACTTTGTGTTGCCTATCGGCCTCTGAGTCCTGAACAGTACCAGGAGGTTTGCCACCTGCTGAACGGGGCCAAATTGGCTCTACAAGACCGAGACAAACGGCTGGCTGAGGCTTACGACATCATCGAGAAAGACCTGATCCTGCTGGGAGCCACTGCTGTGGAGGACAGGTGGAGGATCTCTTTGCTGCTAATTATATAGAACTCCAGTCTTTTGCTCGATTACAATAATTTGGTTTCATGCTTGCACATTTTAGATCTGAGAGTCTAAATGTCATTTCAAACAACCCCTAAGCACTAACTCTTGATTCTGTGCGTGCTGCTGTCATGACAAGTGCTGCCCCACTTCTGAGTGAGCCACGCTGAGTGAGGGCAAGAGGCAGTTCAACCCTCCAATCGCACACTTGCTACTAAAGCAATTATAGTGCAGGCTTAAAAGGGATTGTTAACCCAGAGGGCATTACAAGAGAACTCATCCTGTGCAGAAAGAGGCAGAGTGTAAATGATCCAAGCTTTGTAAGACTGCATGACTCTATTGTTGCTGGGCTATTTTCTCCCCCAATAAATATTTACAGACCACCAAAATGTCTCTCTTTCTTTGTCTGTGCTGTCCTACTTTCCATCACGACAGGCTCCAGGAAAAGGCAGCGGACACCATCGAGTCTCTCCACAAAGCAGGTATGAAGGTGTGGGTGCTGACCGGCGATAAGATGGAGACAGCGGCCGCGACCTGCTATGCCAGCAAGCTGTTTCACCGCAACACCCAGATCCTGGAGCTGACCACCAAACGCACAGAGGAGCAGAGCCTTCACGATGTCCTGTTTGACCTGAGCAGGACCGTCCTGAGGCAGCACGGAACCATGACCAGGGACACTTTCTCTGGGTGTGTGTGCGTTTTTTTTGTGAGAGGCGGTTCTATTTCTGTGGCAAAAAGACAACAATAGAAGAAAGTGTATTGTTGTAGCTGAATGGAATCCAGTGAAGCGGTCCTGTTTGGCTTTGTGTTTCATTGAGTACCATCAAGCAGTTGCTGTACAGACTGTGTTTTCTTCTGTTTGTGCAGTTTTTCAGGTGACTGTACTGACTACGGTTTGATCATTGATGGAGCCACCCTCTCCGCGGTGATGAGGCCCACCCAGGAGGACTCAAACTCAGGGAACTACAAAGAGATCTTCTTAGAAATCTGCCGCAACTGCAGCGCCGTGCTCTGCTGTCGAATGGCGCCACTCCAAAAAGCACAGGTACAAAGACCATGGACAGACAACAGACAGCACCTGTATTGTCTTCTGACTCACTGTAGAGGAGGGTCTGTAAGAGACAGATCAGAATGAGTAGCGTTGAAGCAGTCATTGACTGTTTTTGTATTTCTAGATTGTGAAGCTGATCAAAGCCTCCAAGGAGCACCCGATCACGCTGGCTGTTGGAGACGGAGCTAATGATGTCAGCATGATCCTAGAGGCCCACGTTGGCATCGGTTAGCAAGTTTTGTCCAATCCTGCACTGCATGCTACATCTACCTGTAACATGAACTCATGAACACTTTGCACAACTTTATTCTTTAGTCTTTAATTACATCCACATCAGATGTACAGTGACAGAATTTCTGAGCTTTTTATACACAATCCCCTATGTTTAGGAGATAACTGGAGTTTGACTGCAGTCATGTGACAGACAGGACCAATCAAGAACATTCATTTTGGCTATAAAAACCGCTTGGTTGCCTCATTTGTATGTTTAGGATTATTGTTTTACTGCGTTGTCCTAAAATTGGGGCATAATAGATAAAAGGGGCCACTAATCTGTTTTCATTTAATAGATTTAGGAAAGCTTAGACCAAGTCTACCCCTCAACAAAGGTGTACAGTTGCCTGTGTAATATTTATATTGTCTCTGGCTACCAGTGTTACAGTAATGATCTGATTTTAACTGCAGGTATCATGGGTAAGGAAGGTCGTCAGGCGGTGAGGAACAGTGACTACGCCATCCCAAAGTTCAAACACCTCAAGAAGATGCTGCTCGTCCACGGACACTATTACTACATACGCATCTCTGAACTCGTGCAATACTTCTTCTACAAGGTAGTCTGTCTGCTCGTTTAATGAACGCTGTATTCTTTTTTGTAATCTAGTTTGTATTATGGCTTTGAAGATTTGGTTACAGTTTTGTTACTGAACATTTATTTATGTTTTAGTTCTAGTATTTTTAAATGCAGTCACTGTCAGTAAGAACATCAACTCTAAACTGTCACATCTCTTTAGTTAGAGTTTTTAATCCGAGCAAGAATTTGCAACAAACAAACAAACTTTGAATCACTTCTACAACCACTGACCTGCTCTTCTTTTCTCTCATTTCCTTCCTTTCCTCTCCCAGAATGTCTGTTTCATTTTCCCCCAGTTCCTCTACCAGTTCTTCTGTGGCTTCTCACAACAGGTTAGTACATACACACAAACAAACATAAATAAACAACAATCATAAGGAATAAGACAAAGGAAATAACTCAAATGCTCCCTTCTCCCCAGCCGCTGTATGATACAGCCTACTTGACTCTGTACAACATCAGCTTCACCTCGCTGCCCATCCTGCTCTACAGCCTCATCGAGCAGCACATTAACATGGACATTCTGAAGAAGGACCCGTCTCTCTATAGGTCAGTGCCGATATCTAACAATATGCCAGTACAAGATCTGTCTGTGTATGTGTGATGCACAACTGATAGCTGCTGCTCTGTAAATTATTTGATCAATTTCAGACATTCTCAGTTATGATACCCTCTATTGACTTCTTTAGTAGTAATAGCAGAAGATTTACTGTTTTCAAAAGCAAAAGGCTTCATTAAATCAGTTCTAACAAACTGCAAGCATAAACATTTTCTATTGACTTTATTTCCATGCAAAGAAGACGTTTTCTCAGCACACTTTAACTTGGTTTGATTTGGGTTCAGTTTGGTCAGAGCTCAGATATTTCCAAATTGAAAACTCGCGGTTTCACATGGGTAGTGTTAGTGTGTGTGTGTGTGTGTGTGTGTGTGTGTGTCTCTCTGTGTGTGTGTGTCTCTCTGTGTGTGTGTGTCTCTCTGTGTGTGAACAACTTGTTTTCTCAGCCGCCCGATGAGTCCAGCTGCTAGTGTGATCTGGTAGGTAGCAATGGGTCAAAAATTGAGTTTTTGATTATATTCTAAAAGATTATTGCTCACGCACTAACTTTCAGCCCCCTGTTGAAATAACTTCAAAGGCCTAATACAACCCATCAAAACATGCAGTTTTCCCACTTCCTACCTCCTTATCACTGAAAGCATTCTTTAGAAGCCCCCAAAATGAAACTTGATTTCACTCATTGGAATTCTGCTGTATTGTGGCTAATGTACTCCACACTCGGCTCTATACCCTCCGTGCTTTGCGGGGGGCCCCGGGGTGGTGTCACGGTGCCCGGCGAGCACAACAAACAATCTGAGAGCTTCTGAAGACTACACAAAATGTTCAGGTCCATGTAGTCATTTTAGTGTTCATGAAGACATCTATAGTCAGTGGCTGATTCATGTATTATTCCATATGAATGTATGCTAAACTCAAATGAAAAATCTCATTACGATCGTTTCTGGTTAACGTCCTCCCAAAAGGCCAGCTATGTAGTATTGATCGCAGAATAATGTTGTATCAGTCGAACGGGAGGTGGTCAGGTGATTTTGTATCTGTCTTTACAGGACATTGCAAGAACTCTTTTGGCTACGGTGGCCACTTTCATAATATTGGACTGTCCTACGGCCGTGTACGACCGCCATCGTGATGTTTCTCCGGTGCTTACTTCCTGTTGACAACACCACCTTACCACCCAGCAACGGACAGGTAAGGCTCCTGGTTTTATGACAGCGCCCCTTTATTTAATTTAGTCGCACTCAGTTCGTCAATGTAAATCTCTATAATAGAGGCATTCATTCTAAATCACTTGGCAGCGACAGAACATCCTTTTACAATACCAACGCTGGTTTTGAAAGGACGTTTTTATTGTTCTGCGTGTTTCTAGCAGCTGTCTACTACGCAGAGGAGCCTTAATTCACATTTACGTTTCGTATACAAATAGAAAAAGGCTTCAAATTCATTCAATGCAACTTCTTTGCATGCCATTAGACTCCCAATTATTCTTCACAAATAAGGGCCTATAAATAGTCCTAATGGGCCTCAGAGAGTGGCCACAAATGTGACAGAGTTCTTCCCTGCTCCTACGAAAGGGAGCCGCATCAACTGAAGGAGGAATTAGGATAGAAAGAGACTAAATGTCTCAATGGTCAGTTATGGGAGAGTAGGTGTGCGACTCCAGTTTCTATAATCGTGTTTTTACCCTGCCTTTTAACCCGAAGAAGTTGTAACACCACACAATGCTACCCACACCAATAGCTTAAGGGATGTGATCACTATAGGAGCAGCGTGCAAGCAAAAGGCAGGTCACTACACAAAAGTCTACCAGTTGATGTGTCTACGCCAAGCGGCTAAGGGCTGCACCATGAGATCGAACCAATGGATGGGGAATTCTGGTGGCATCCAGGCTGTGTGATGGGACGTGACAGGAAGTGTGGGAACGACTAGGGGGAGATGACAGAGGACCAGGGACGGCGGCCTTACCATCCCCGGTGGTGTTGGTTGTCATAGCTGGGGGAGGAGAAAAGAGAAGCAAAAGTAAAGCCAAGCACCAAAGGTAAGGAGGAGGGGAAGGAGAAGGAGGAGAAGGCCAGAGAGAGAAATCATAAAAATAAACAACAGTATTGTGGCTGGAGAGCATAAAAATTCAATGCATAAAAAAAAGTGAAATCAAGCACACCCAACACCAGTCCCAAAAGGGTTCTGGAGAGTAACGCTGTGTTGAAACTGAAAGGAAACAAATAGGGGAGAAACACAGAGGAAGATGGTGGAAACCCCCGCCAAGCCTGTCCGTGGGCCTTGGATGGTGGAATGGTAGAACGGCTATCACTTAAAGTGCACACATTATGCACTCCACCACATGAGTTCCTTTTTTTTATTCTGTCGATTGAGGGGGCCCTGGGACATGTACTAGCAGCTTTTTAGCGTCCACGTGGTTGCCCACTGTTGTGAAGAATAACCCCGGCACTCTTTCTCCACCTCTAAATTTATTCCAACCAACAAGTAGCCCCTCAGGTTTTGGGTCTTACAAAAGAAACAAAACAACCAAAAAGTCTGTCCTCAGAGTGTTTCCATATTAGAAACCCACTCGGCAGTCCTTCAATTAAAGCTTATTCCGCCACCCCTTTTATTACCCAGGGTTCAATGTGTATTAACTGTGCAAGGCTTTAAGCCACAAAGAAAAAATATTCTTGGGTTACATGCATCATTAATCGCACTAAAACATCCCAAAAAGACAAATGAAAGGCAGGAAACTTACCAGATGCTTTTCACAGAGGACAGCTCATGATAGGCATGAGCCGAGGGAAGTACAAACTCACAGATTATAACAGGAAATCAAAAACAAAAGGCGTCGTCGCAGTATGGGCGCCGGCAGGTCTTATCTAGATCTAAATGGTCCAACATCCATGGTTTTCTGTTATTACTGATAGCTGTGGCTACTTTACGCCATTTTAAATAGCCCTGGAAACTGGCAAATAGCCTCAGTGTACAGCCCAGACTGTGGATATTTGTTGTCAATAA